GAGAGAGAGAGAGAGAGAGAGAGAGAGAGAGAGAGAGAGAGAGAAACAGAGAAAGCCAAAATATTGGCCCTGGAGCTCCAGGAGACTGGCACGTTCCCGTCTGCAGGGGGCGCTGGCGAGCAGCTGGAGACCCAGCGGGGACTGCAGGGAGCCCCGCGGCTGGGGCTCTCTGGGGTGGAGCTCGGGTGGTACTGGAGCCGGACGGGCCCACATCCCGGAAGGATCCTGCTCAGTGGGGCCGCCGGTGGGCTGTCTTCGCTCCAGAGCCCTCGGCAGAAGTTCAGGTCCAGGAGTGTGCGCCGGAGCTCGGCAGCCCGGATGCGGCCCCGCGGCGGCTCCTCCTCCTGCTGCCCGGGGCCTGGCCGGTGCCCCGCTGAGATGTCCTCACAGCGCTCTCCAGAGTCCTAGGACTGGATCAAGGACATTCGCGACCAGAGAAAATTATGTTCCCTCCTCCTCCCCTTAATCCTAAACATTGTTATGAATCCAACTACTCTGCTTTCCGGAAAACCCAATGTGTGGCCTGGAAAACACCCAACACGGCCTGCCAGCCCCACCTGATACAGCCTGGGGCTGGGGTCCCGCCAGAAGCCCTGGCCAGCCATTGATCGCATGCTGTCCTCCTGCAGCTGGGGTCACTCACAAGACGGAGTCCAGGGTTTCCCAGGGCACGGGACCAGTTTCCCTGCGAATTCCCGGAGACTGTGTGTGTCAGTCATGGAGAGGGGCTGGAATTCGGAGCCTGCTGAGAGAGCTGATGTCCCCCTTCTCGATCCCTAGGGCTCTGGTCAGTGCAGAGGTGTCGCCCGGGGAGCATGTGGCTATCTGGAGACAAGTTGGTGGGCTGGTTCGTTCGTTTGGAGACAGGCCTCACTCGCTGGCTGGGGCTGGCCGGGAACCGATGGCGACCCTCCTGCCTGGGCCTTGAGTGCAGGGGTCACAGGCGTGTGCCTGGGCCCGGCTCTCTGGAGACTGCCTTGTTCGTCACAGCCTGGAGCAGGGGCCAGTTGGTGGCACTGTGTAGGAAGAGGCTCTGCCACCCCAGGTGCGGAGCAGGGTCGCCAGGACAATGGTGTGGAAGCTGCTGCAGGGTCGCAAGCGCCCCCTCATGGGTGCAGGGCGACAGCGGAGTCCAGAGCACCTTGGTGCGGGCTGGGAGGGAGCCAGGAGGACCAGGTCACCAGGGAGGCCGCAGGGCCCTGGTCAGGAGGCCGCTCCTTCCCCTGGGCACGACTCCTGCCCCGGGGACAGAGGCCTTAACGCCTCCTCACAGCTGGGTCCCAGTCCGGACTCGCCCACTGCCACTACCGGCCCTAAGAAGCCCTTCCTTTCTTCTATGCATTTTGTTATTGCAGGCCTAGGGGTTCAGTGCGGCCCCTCTCACCTGATAGGCAAGCACCACACCACTGAGCCACATCCCAGGCCCTTATTCTAAGACACGGCCTTGCTAATTTGCCCAAGCTGGCCTCAGGCCTGAGATCTTCCTGCCTCAGCCTCCTGAGTCCCTGGCGTTACTGGCATGCACCATCTCACGCAGCTCCAAAGCTTCTGTCTCCGTAGGAGCCAATGAAAAGAGGAGATCATCCCCCTGCAGCTATTTCTTGATTGTCTGGTTTCTAAAATAGCCTTTGGAAACATCCAGGTGGCTTTGCGCGGGGCTGACAGGTTTGCATCACCTGGCCAGGAGAACGCGGTCAACTTCAGCACGGGAAAGCAGCAGCTCGGACCTCAACTTCAGCACGGGAAAGCAGCAGCTCGGACCCCATAACAGGCGCGGGACAGGCAGTGCGGGCAGGAAGGCGGGG